CACCCCATGTTGCACAGAGCAGTTTCCAGGCTGGAAAATACAGTGATACGCAAAGGCGGCCCAAACTGATGCTGAATTCCCCAGCAGAAGTTTCCCTAGCGTGTGACCTCAAATCAGCAAAACCCATGGGCTGACTCTCCTGGGTCACGTCATGGCCCCTTAATCAGCTCTCCACCAAACCAGGTCCCCACCATCTGATCCCATGAATTTATCTTCACAGAAGGGCCTGAGCTTCTTGGGCTGGCTTACAACCCAGGCCATGCATATACTGCTTGTGGGCAATAAATCACAGAGTTTTCAAGGCCCTAAACACCATTCCACGAGACTGGGTCTGATAGTAGCACTGACCTACTTTCCATCTCCACTGGGAAAAGGGGGTTATCTTGCCCTTATTTGGGTTCTACAGGGAGGCAGGGCCAGGGATGGGGATTAAAAAAAAAATCTTTCCAAAGCAACAGGCAAATTAATTTGATGTGCCCAGAAAGCTGGTAGGGAAAGAGCGTGATCCACCAGACCTTCCCGAAGAGGAAAAGGCGGAGGGGCTGGTGAAAAGACTCAGACAGGGACAGTTTACACACACTAGAGCTGACTGGAAGACCACGAAGATCAGGCCGCAGCCGTTGTGGGTCACAGGTTTTAGGGGCAAAGTGTAAGGGGCAAGAGTTCAGGGCTCCGGCGTTGACTAGGCCTCTGTCAATGAACATCTCTAATATTCCATTTTTCTGTTAAGGATCCTCCACCTTCAAGGCGGCGAACAATAATAATGAACATGGTGGCACAAGGTGGGGTCAAAAGGAAAAGGAGCTGCTTAGGAGGCCACCTTTAGGGGGACCCCACAAATGACATGCAGGGCCACCACCCCACCCTGCTTGGTAGCCCTCTGCTCCACACAGCTTAGGTGGCTTAATCCCACCCCACAGACTGCCCACCTTTTAGACTGAAACTCGGTGCTGCCTCCCTCCCTCCCTCCCTCCACACTCACTGCCCTGTACTGGGGGCATGGAACCTTAGTCATGGACACACACCAGCAGGAGAGGAAGCTGAGGCGGCTCACCCACTGCCGCCCTACTGTGACGAATAGCATCCCAGAGGCATGTCCCAACTTGACCCCTCTCCTCAAAGTTGTGCAGGGCTGGTATTGGGGGGGAGGGGGCAGGCAGTGCGCCCAAAGTCCCCATACCTGGAGCTGATGACCCCAGAGAAGCCCGAGTCTGAGCACCCTTCCAGATTGGGGGGGGGGGGTTTAAAGGGGGGGGGCAGGAAGGCCTCTGGGAAAATCGCTCTCCCAGAAGTCGGTTGGCAAGTGGGGCAGGCCCAGTGATTCTGCACGAGCGCTTCCTCCAGCAGCACCCGGACCCCCTCCCGGGAAGACGAGCCAGAAGGATGAGGTGGGGGGGCGGGGGGGGCAGGCTAGAGAGACTGGGAGGCCAGGGCTCAGCTCCCCGGGCCGGGAGAACAAAAGCGGAGTTGCAGCCGCCTCCGCTGCAGCCGCCGGCCGAGCTCTTTGTGACACTTTGTTTGGGACGCAGAGAGGGAAGCACCCCCCCATCCTCTCCCCTCCCCCATCCCCGCTCCCGGAGAGTTTGGGTCCCTTCCCCCTCCTCCGGCAGCCCTACCTGGGCCGGGCGGTGGGGGGGCGGGGGGGGGCCGGAGGGGGGCTCATCCACTCGGGCTCCCGGCTCGGCCGCCCGCGCGGCACCCCCAGGCCCCTCGCTCCCCGCCTTCGGGCCCCTACAAAGACGCCCGGCAGCGCCCCCCCTCCTTCCCCGCCCGCCCCGGAGCTGGCCTTTCCCCTCCCGCTGTCCGCGCTCCCGGTTCCCCCACCTGGGCCCCCCCCCTCCCCGGAGGCCCCCCGAGCTCCCGGGGCTTCCGAGGCCGCCGCCCCCAGCCCGCCCCCCCAGGCGCTCTGGGCGAAGTTTGCTCGGGGCCGCGCCGGCGCCCCTCCCCCGCCCCCGCCCCCTGCACCTGCTCCGAGCCGGGCGCGCCGAGGGGGCCCCCCCTCCGGGCGGGGGGAGGGTTCGGGGCGGGGGCGGGTGGCGGAGGGGGGGGGGCCGGCGGCGGGGGCAGCGGCTACTCACGGGCCCCGGGCGGGCGGCGGCGGAGCGGGCGGCGGCGGCGGCGGGCGGCGGGCCGGCGGCGCGGGCGTCAGCGTTACGTGGGGCCGGGGGAGATGCGCCGGGCCCCGGCCCCCCCCGCCCCCGGCCCGGCCCCCGCCCCCTCCCCGGTCCCCCGCCCCCGGCCCTGGCCCGCATTGTGTGCGGCGGGAGGCGGCCCGGCCATTAGCATGCGGGGGGCGGCGCGGCGGGGCTGCGAGCCGCGCGGGAGCGGGCGCGGGCGCGGGGCGCGGGCTCCGGGGACACGGAGCGGGGGACCCCGGGAGCCGCGCGAGGCGGCCGCCAGGGGCGGGGTGCGGGCCGCGCGGGGACGGGGGGCGCTGCGCGAGGGCGGGCGGGCGGGAGGGAGCGGGGGTGGGGCGCGCGGACGAGTCCAACAGGAGACTGGAAGAGATTTTGAAAGGTCATCTCGTCCTTCCCCCAGCCTCCAAGCGGGGTGCCCCTCCCACCCGAACCCGGACATACCAGGGAAGGAGTTGGCGCTGCCGCTCTTTCTGCCCCAACATGCACAGACTCGGGAAGTTCTTCCTGGGGTTTTATCTCAAAGCCTCTCCCTTGCAATCAATCTCTCTCTCTCTCTCTCTCTCTCTCTCTCTCTCTCTCTCTCTCTCTCTCTCTCTCTCTCTCTCTCTCTCTCTCTTTTGGGGGGAGGAGGAGGGGCGATTGGGAGAGATAGTTCATGTCTGCCATATAAGAAACATGATTAAAGTTACTCTTGGGTCCCTTCTGTTCTTGATAAACAACAAGCCCTGCTCCTTCCTCTCAGATTCTGTTTTCCCATTCCTTAAGTCGCTCCGATGGCTCTTCAATATAATAAATATTTACTGAGCGCTTACCAAGTACCCCGGCACTGTGCTCAGCGCTGGGGAGGCGCGGGGGGAGGTGGCGGATGATGGACCGCGCCTCGCGGGAGTTCTAGACCCGGTCTTCCTCCTAAACGGTCCACTCCTGTTTCAGCAGCATGCTCTGAATGCCGCCGGTCCAGGGGCAGCATTATTGGGTAGTCTGGAATGCTTGCGGCAGCACTGAACTAGAATCGGTACCCCTAGCTTAACAGGCTCATCCTGGAGAATCAGGCACTAGGAGTCTCGGGCCATTGGCCTGCCACCCCAGATATCCTCATCCCACATTCTGCCAGGCTACGGCCACCATAAAAATCAGTGCACAGAGGGGAGCAAGGAGGGAAAAGACACGGCGGTTCTCGTGGTCCCTTTCCCTGGGACTTTTTTCTTCCAGGAAATAAAGAACAGACACAAGTTTCCAAGGAATGTTGACCCTAGGCTCGACAGGGTGAAGACCTCTTGCCTCCCAAGGGCCTCCCTCCTGGTACTGACTCAGGTCTTCTGTCACTGGTAGTAATGGTGACAATAGCCCCTAACAGTTAGTGAGCACTTATCTGCCAGGTGCTGGGCTGAGCTGGTTCATAGGCATTTCCTCTTTTAAATACTTAAGGCAACCCCTTAAGATTGGTATTATTAACTTTCCTGTATAGATAAGGAAACAGATCAGGTAACTTGCCCCAAGGTCACCCAGAGAGATCTGGGATTTAGACAAAAGTCCGATTGCCTCTGTGCCTCAAACTCTGCACCTAGAGGGGCCCTTCCTCTTTTTGGTCTAAGGAGAATATATTTTCGGGCCAGCTGATTCTGCTTCTGACCCTAGAAGTAACTGTCTCTGGCTTCATTACTGAATAAGCCCTTTAGTTTATGGGCATCAGCCACATCAGCATGACCTCATTATAATAACCACTAATACTTATTAAGCAGCCACATGAGTCAACAATTCTTCTCAGCCATGTTATTAGTTCCCTTTTATCACTCAGTGTGACCAAACCGAAGTTCAAATAGGTAGAATAAATGTATCCAAGGCCATACAGCTCAGAATGTGGCTCTACCCAACTGCAAAGCAACATCTATCTCTCAAAAAAAAATAAATAAATAATGTTTCAATAGTGCCCTTCCCAAGACTAACTGTTTGGAACCATATTCCACACATATCTAGTTGCAGGTGATAAGCTGAGTCAGAAACATTCCCTACTATAAACAGGGTTTCCCATCCACTTAGTGTCTCATCCAGAGTAAATACTTCAAGAAAGGAAGGAGGGCAAGAGAGAGGGTACAGTGGGCTAAGTGCACATTTTGTATGTGGGAGGCCTGGGTCCCATCCTTGGCACCACACAGTCCACAGCCAGGAGTAGCTCTGAGTACCCTTGGGTGTGCTACCCCTCCCCCCCCACACACACACCTAGAAGAAAAGAGAAACTGTCTAGAAAGTAAGAGACAGGAAGCCAGACTTTACCTGGTCTTGGGACAAAGTTACAATTGGTCAAGAGAAGAATCAGTTCAGACAGTAATGGGGAGCTCCCTAGGGAACAGGAAAAACTCAAAGGATGAAATCAAAAACAGGAGAAAGAATGGATGGAAATGGGGGTGGGGAGTGGGCTTAAACTGGGATTATGGATGGAAGGGTCCATAGATGAGGTGTTTGGAAGAGTAATCCAGGAATTCCAAGATTCGGGCAGAAACAGTGAGACAGGACTGAGTGTCTTAAGGAGTGACCTGAGGGTGGTGTCTACCCACAGCCACTCCCTGGAGCCAATGGCCCTCACAGGGACCTTTGCTCCATCACACCCCAGCCCTGACAGTCTGTCTCTGCCAGGACAAATCTGTCAACTGCTCTGAGCTACCAGGGCCCACCAGGAGCTCCAGGAGCGACAGGGTCCCACCCATCAGAAGTTGCTGCCTCAGACTAGGTAGGTGTGAGACTGAGCTTAGACTCAGTGAATTTTAGAAATGAGGGGGGTGGGGGATGGGGGGGCAGGGGTGCAGCTGCAAGAAATGTTGCTACATGCTATTATGTATTTTTCCCCATCTAGGAAGCACCAACATCCAAGGGTTAAGGGAACCATGGAGGAGAGAACTGGTCTCCCAGAGCAGAAGGGACCCCGTTCTCGTTTGGAACAGCTACAGTCCTGGGCAAGGCACAAGGAGAGTGGGCGTCTCTTGGTGCTGGCGGTGAGGCCAGGCTGCCCCACCCTAAACTCCAGCAGGTCCACTTAATTCCCAATTCAGTTCCATGGGAGTTTCCTGCTCATCTTCTATGTACCTGAAATTGCTAGCCTCTGAGTGGGAGGAGGGTAGCGGGAATGGAAGGAACAAAGCAAGACCTTTAATCCTCAAGTAGTAGTTGCCTTCATGTGGGGCCAGCTAAATAACAAAACACTGATAGGAGGCAGAAGAAAACAAAATAACTCTTCCTTTCCTTGATTACTTTTGGTTGACTACTTCCGGTCCCACGTGTTCTTGTCAATTGCTGATCTCCAGGTTGGGAGGAGGAAGGCAGGTCCTTGACAACTTTCCTTTGACTCCCAGGTGAGCCAAATATGGCTGGCAGTGGCTCTAGTGCCATTCGCTGTCTCAGTTGCCTGCCTGAACTCTGCTTGCCACATGACCACAGCTCTACCACTTGGGCCTGCAGCCCTGGTAAGATCTGCACAAAGGAGGGTGGGAGGAAGGTGGTAAGAGGCTCCCTTGCCTGAGGGTACCAGAGACCAACACTTCCTCACCACCAGGGTTTCCTCGCTGGGATTGTTACCCTGGAAGTTCGCAGAGTACCCAGAATCTGGAAGGTGAGAGGAAACTGGAGAGAATGCTATAGTATCCTTACCCCATTACACACTCTCTCTCTCTCTCTCTCTCTCTCTCTCTCTCTCTCTCTCTCTCTCTCTCTCTCTCTCTCTCATACACACTCATACGCACGCGCCTAAGGAGTAAGTGGCTCTTTAAGTCTGACAAATTCTGTCAGGTCTCTGTCCCTGACTGACCTAAAAGACCTGAGAAGCAAGTTAAAGGACTGGTGCTCCTATTTGGATGTAGACTGGATGGAATGGGAAGTGAAGTTATGTTTCTCCAGGTCGCAGATGGGGTCTGGGGTGCAGTGTGTCCTTAAGGCTGGGCAGGGCTAAGCTGGCTCACTGGCAGGTGCAGGCCATGATGGTACTCAACACCTTCAGTCTACTCTTGGGCTTCATTGCGGTGGCGATCGAGCTGATAAAGACCTTCTTGGGACCTGCCCCAAAGACCCCTTCCCAGGTAGGAGAAATAGTACAGTAGGTAAAGTATTTGCCTTGCATGTAGTCAACCTGGGTTCGATCCCCGGCATCCCTATCTGGTCCCCTGAGCACTGAGCCAGAAGTAAGCCAATGAGCACTTCTGGAGGGTGACTCAAAAAAAATAAAATGAAGACCGGAGTGATAGTACAGCAGTTTGGGTGTTTGCCCTGCACACAGCCGACCAGGGCTCAATCCCTGCATCCCATATAATCCCCCCGAGCACCTCCTGAGTATAGAGTTAGCAGTAACCCCTGAGCCTCACTGGGTGTGACCAAAAAAGGAAAAGGTGGGTGGATGGGAGACAAGAAAAGACGAGTAGAAAGTTAGCAAGAACAAGTGCTGGGTAACTTCTGTTAACAGTAATTTCAGTTTTGTCTCCCTGCAACAGGCGGGCATGCTGGTCCTGGAGCTCAGCACCGAGGCCTTCACCCTAGGAGGAGGTCTGGTCTCTGCATTCTCTCTCTTCCTGCTGAGCCAGAGGAAGCCAGGATGCTGCAGGAGCCCTACTCTGCACTATCAGGAGCTGCAGGAGGTATGAGGGCGGGGAGAAAGCACCCAGCAGCTCCTGGCTACTTATTTTTTCCCTGGCTATCCTGGTCATTGGCACTTAAGTGGAGAAAGGGGAGGCTAGGAAGGGTGGAGCCCTGGGCTGAAACTGGTTGGTTTCCTAGTGGGGGGTAAAGGGGATCTGGGGATCCAAGTGGTTGCAACTAGAAGTGTGGTGGAAGCTGTCTACATATGAGGGAAAGAATGGGAGAGGAGGAGGAAGCTGCTTTCATCTGGGATTTCTCCTTTCTCAGCCCCTCAAGTGAGTGTTCCCCCCACCTCTGTCTGGTTTTCAGGGTGACTCGGAGTTGGTGGAAGTTCCTGATTTGGAAAACTGCCCCGTGGTGGCCAGCTGAAGAAATCAGTGAGCTGACCCCAGGGAGCTCTCCTTCCACTTAGGAACGTGCTCCAGACTGTCCAGCACCCTAGCTCAGCTCCAAAGCTAGGTGGGGTCCCCAGGGACCAACAAGAAGCCCAGCCGAGTGCCTTCAATTTTCACTTGCACTGGACGCCGTTGTCTTGCCCATCAGAGGGGAAACGACACCTAGGCCAGAGACCTCCCTCACCGGATGGGACCCCCCACCGAAGCAGCCCACCTGCTGACCATCCTTAAACCCACTTCCTCCCTTCTGTACTTTCCCTCCTTTCCTCCAGGCTCCTCTACTAATTCTCGTTAACACCTTTCACAGCCCCATTCACTCCAAGCCCGGGCGTCCTTAGGGGGACCTCCTCTGCGCCACCTCCCACCGCCCGGCTCGCTGCTCCTCCTCGGACATCAGTTCCTGGGCGCTGTCGTTTCTCCCTGGGACCCGGTTTCCTGTCGACTCGGGCAGAGACTCCAAGTCCCAGGCTGCCCCGCCAGCCCCGGGCCTGCCGGGAAATAAAGAGCCTCTTCCCAGCGCGCTGGGGGCGCTGTGTGTGTGCCGAGTGACGCGAGGCCCTGGAAGTCGGGGCCCAGCCCAGAGTTTCCTCGGACGCGACCACTGAGCCCGCGCGCAGGGAGGCGCCGGGCGGGCCAGGCTGCGCCCCGCGCCGCCACCCGGGGCGGCGGCCTCCGCCAGCCGCCCGCAGGGGCGGCATCCCCGCGCCCCTCGAGGCTTCGGAGTCGGGCGGCGACCGGGAACCGCCCCCGGCCGCGCCGGGCGTCCGCCGAGGCCGTCGCTGCGCCCCCGGCCTCCCCCCAGCCTCAGTGCCCGGGTCCAAAGTGCTGAGACTTGGAGCGCGCGCGAGAAAGGGGTTGGAGATGATGAGTCAGAAGCCCGGGGCCCTCCTCGCCCCCTCCCCCCGGGGCCTGGGGGCGGTGGACAGGACTGGCTCGCGGGGCTGCCCGGTGCTCGGGGCAGGAAGAGGGAGGGACGCGGCGCCCCGAGCCGAGACTTTCCCGCCTTAGGCCTGCAGCACGCTGCAGGGACCAGCCCGCGCGGCGCCGCCCGCGCGTCCCGCGGAGCCACTGCGCAGGCTCGGCCCCCGGGCGCTCCTGCCCGACCTTTGATCCCGGCTGCTGGCCAGTGGCTGCCGAGGCGCGGACGGGGCGCTGCCCCCACCATCCCTGACCTCGGGGGGTGGGGGGGTTGTGCAAAGATGACACGTTCGGCTGGGCTCGAGAGAAGCGCGGGGGAAACTGGCAAGAGCCCGCCAGCACCAGCCGCTCGAGAAAACTAGAAACGGAGCAGAGCTGGCGGTACTAAGAGAACTCACCCCAAATTCACACAGTGCCCGGGATGGCTGTGCGCCTCACACTCATTTTTGTTCCCACTTGAGGAGACTTCCTTCTTTCCCTAGAGAAAGCTGCTTCGCCCGGGCTCTGCCAAGCCCGGGGCACCCGTGAGGAAAGAGCACAGCCTGGCTGCCTGGTCCGGGCACTGCAAGCCGCTCCTTTCTGTTTGTGACACCTTGGGAGTGGTAATAGTCGCCCTGCCCTATGACAAGGTTGTGTGAGTACTAGTGGGTGGGGACAGCGCCGGGATTAGGCAGAGGAATGGAGAAAACAAGAGCCGTGCCTCCCCCCTTCTCCCACGCTGCGTGGAACAGCCAGGATAACAAAAAGCTCATTTGCGAAGTACTCCACGGTGTGTGTGTGTGTGTGTGTGTGTGTGTGTGTGTGTGTGCGCGCGCGCGTACAAAGCTCATTTGCGAAGTACTCCGTGTGTCTGTGTCTGTGTCTGTGTCTGTGTCTGTGTCTGTGTCTGTGTGTTCCAAATCAGAAGATGGTGGTGGATGAGATGAGGAAGCAACAATTCGGGGCGGGACAGAGAGCTCAAGGGTTTCTCGAGCTCAGGCTTTGCAGGCAGGAGACCCAGTTGGGAGCAACCCTGAGCACGACCTACCTTCGCCCCTCCGACACAGATCCCAGAGGAGCCCCTGAGCACCACCACTGGGCGTGGCAACCACAAAACAAAAATCAACAATTCGCTGTCAGCTACTTCCAGATAAACTGCAACAGCTTTTCGTGACAAAAATCAGAAGCCTGGGAGTTGTGTTCTAGCCTTTGGAGAAAGTCAATGACCATGCAAATGAAGCTCGTGGCAGGTTAGAGTAGGTAATTTGATGAACAAATGCCAAAATCTCAGCGGTGCAAACCACAGAGGTTTATCTCAGCGCTCCTGTCAGTCTCGCTAGAGTCTGGCAAGATTCTCTGTCTTTGAGTTACTCTGATTCTCAAGCCACTGGAACGCCACCATTTTGAGATCCTACCATGTCATCATGAGATTTAGAGTCCCTTCCCCCAAACAATGTGAAATAATCCTGAACAATTGTTCCCTTGTTCATGGGCTCTTAAATGGTTTTATCTCAAAGGAGCACATATCACTCCCACTCATACTTCAGTGGCCAAACTAAGTCCTGAAGCATACTGAATTCAAACTAGAAGGCAGTCTTTCTGTATCTGGAGGAAGGAAAGCTGAAAGACTTCATTAAAAGAATAAATCATTCGGAATTCTTGAACAGTTTGGCAGTTGGAACTCTTTTGTTCGAGTAAACCTGCGTGCCCTCATAAAATGAATTTGGCTTTTTTTTTTTTTGGCAGAGGCCCTTTGGGGCCACACCCAGTAGTGCTCAGGGTTGCTGCTGGCCCTGTTTTTGGGAATCATTCCCAAGTGCTCTGTAAAGCATGCCCTCAGCCTGTTGAGCTAACTCCCTGACCGCTTAAATGAAATTTTAATAGAAACTTTAAAAGTAATAGAACTGCTAGGAGTAAGGAAATCTAGAATCTGGTTTTGTTGCATTAGTGTGGGCAAGTCAGACCTCTCTAAACTACATTTTGTTTTCATGGCAATTATTAGCGTGATATTTATCCTCTACCTTATTGGAATACCTATTTTAATTTTTTTAAAAACCCACAGAAAAATAGTTTAAAATTAAAAACTACTTTAGAAGTTGAAAATCAATTGCCTACGGGGCCAGAGAGACAGAACAGGGATTAAGGCACTTGCCTTGTGTGTAACTGACCCAAATTCTATCCCTGGAACAGCACATGGTCCCCCGAGCAATGCCAGGAATGATCCTTGAGCAAGAACCATCCAGGAGTAAGCTCCTAGCAGCTGGGTGTGACCCCCCCAAAAAAGAAAAGAAGTTGTCAATACGGACACGGAATGGTATGAATTGCATGAAGCAGATTATGAGTGATTTGTAATGGTGTCAACTGTGGTTGACTAGGAGCGTATATTCCTTTTAAGGACTTCAGCCAGAGCTGATTGTACAGTGGGTAGTGAATTTGCCTTGCACTCAGCAGACCAGGTTCAATTCCCAGAATCTTACATGGACCCCCATGTGCCACCAGGAATAATTCCTGAGTACAGAGCCAGGACTAGCCCCTGAACACCACTATGTGGCCCAAAACCAAACCAAAACAATACTCTCTGGGCCAGGAATGTAGCTCAGTGGTAGAGCATGCACCAAAAATTGTTTCAGTTCCCAACACCATTAAAAAAAAAAAAAGACTTTACTCCTACTCAGCTCCATCAAATTATTGCCATGTGCAACTGTGGACCTGGATTAAGTTCAAATTTTTTTATGTACATCGGAAATTATGTTTTGTTTTTGGGCCACACACAGTGATGCTCAGCAGTTGCTCCTGGCTCTGCACTCAGGAATCACTCTTGATGGGCTGTGAGAACTATGCAGGGTTTTGGGATCCAGCCCAAGTCAGCCGCATGCAAGGCAAGCACTATAACTCTAGCCCCCAGAAAATTAATTTTTCAGTGTGAAATATTCTGATATTAAAATGTTAAAACTGGGCCAAAGAGATAGTACAGTGAATAGGGCTCTTGCCTTACACGTGGCTGACCTGGGTTCAATCCCTGGCATCTCAGATGACCCCCTTAGCACTGCCATGAGTAATTCCTGAGTGCAGAACCAGGTGCAACCCTGAGCATTGCCAGGTATGGCTCAAAAACAAAACAAAACCAAAAAGTTGGAAGTGAATTTTTTTCTAAAATCAAAGACCAGGGGGTTGGAGAGACAGTACAGTAAGTAGGGCACTAGCCTTCATTGCAGCCAACCCACGTTCAATCCCAGACATCTCCTCTGGTCCCCTGACCCCTGCCAGGAGTCCTTCCTGAGCTCAGAGTAAGCCCTCAGCATCACCAAATGTGGCCCAACAGCCTAAACAAAAAATAAAATAAAATAAAAGACCAGATTCAGCCTAAAATCCTTCAATAATAGTCTGGTTTGGGAATTTGGTTTGGATTGGGTTTGGATGCCACACCCAGCTTACGCCTGATTGATTCTGTGCTCAGGAGCCATTCCTGGTGGGGCTCAGTGACGATCTGGGGTACCAGGAATCCAACGCAGGTCATCCACGTGCAAGGTAAGCGTTCTTCCCACTCTCCTATCTCTCTAGCCCTCAATCATCATCTCTGGATTAGAAAAAACTATGGCGGGAGTTTAGTCTTAGAATGTGTGTAATACAGTTCTTGTACTCGTCCGAGGTCTCTTCTGAAATCTAAGTCTTGGAGAAACTGAACATTGTATTAATAACAGCTTTTTAAAATCGGGTCAGAGAAACAGTACATCGGGCAGTGCCTTGTATGCGGCCAACCCAGATCCAATCCTCAGCACCACATATGGTCCCCTGAGCCCTGTCAAGAATGATCCCTGAGCTATACACAACAAACTTTCAATATCTGTATTGCAAACTACAGTGCCCAAAAGGAGAGTCAGAGAGAGAGAGAGCACCTGCCATAGAGGCAGTCTGTGGGTGAAGTGGGGAGTGATGGGAGGGAAACTGGGGATACTGGTGCTGGGAAATGTACACTGGTGGAAGGATGGGTGGTGGAACACTGTGTGATTGAAACCTAATCATGAACAGCTTCGTAAGGGTCTATCTCACAAGTGATTAAAAAAAACCCCTGAAAAATAAAAAGACTGAT